AAAAAGACAGAATGAACAATTTTTAGACGATTTTTAAAAAGTTATTATAGTGAGGTTTGAGAACTGGCCTTAATTTACCTAGCTTTAAAAGCCAAAATCAAATTAAGCAGTTAGAAACTCACCAGACTGTTAAACAAGCTTCAAGGTAAGGTTTGTGGACAAACAATAACAGCCAGGGCTCACAAGTACTTTACTGTCACCTCCAAGGCAATTCAGAAATAACTTTTATTGTTGGCTCTTAGGGAAAACAATGAAATAAACTTACATAATAGAGGAATGGCCAGGTTTTTAAAAAAGTCACCTCACTCAGTCTGCTGGGAATGGCTTGTTCTCTTCAGGCCGTCAATCAATTTCATCTCATTATAAGTATTACAAATATATAACGATGCCTATATTAGATCTTTTAGCAAAGAAAGCAGTAATATGACTGGATTTTAACATACACATCACAGAATAGAAAGTACGTTTCTCTACATTTCCTTCCTCAGTACTGCCTCAAAGAAATTCCCTCAGAATCCAACTCTGTTAGTTACTCCACCATGACACAGATGACTACTAGGATCATGTTAGTATTGAGAACAAGATGGTTCCAAATCTTAAGTTGCTATTATACAATTAATTTCTTGCTTCCTAGCTAGTGAAGTGTCACCTCTCCCTAGAAAAATGTAGGAATCCAGAAACTTAAAAGTTGCTCTACAAGTAAATTTTAGATCATTCTCTAAAGCATCCATCCTCATTTAAAGGAAAATTGCTTAGTGTGATGCCACTGAAAAAGTAGGCAGCATCAACAGGGTGTTATAATTTAGAATTTCCTCTCTACTCATCTCCTCCTCCCTAACAAAATATGGAAAATCTAAAACTCTACAAAAAGGTAGTATGATAAAGAAAAATCAATAAAGGTGGTCCTGACTAAATTCAGTTAGATGAAGAACCTAGGACTGGATAAATCAATGTGTGCCACAAAGTAACTGGTGAACTTTCTCGTATGAAGCAAATACTAGAAAAAACGGTCTTCCACAAGCAGTATCTCCCTTCAAGCCAGAATGTATACACCCCCCCCCTCAATAAATTACATTGTACCTATTTTCAAAAATAGCTAAAATTCCTGTTTAAACACAATTACTTTCATAAGATACATGTAAAGAAAAATTAAGGAGAAATGGTGTACACATGAAGGACATACCCGTGTTCTATTACGAGTAGAAACCTATCATTAGGGCCAGACTGCCTGGGTTTGATTCCTGGCTCCAACACTTACTTTGTGCTGTGTGTGTATATAACTAGGAAAATTATTTAAGTTCTCTGTGCTTCAGTTTCTTCATATGTAAAATGAGGCTAACAGTACTTACCCATCATTGGCTGTTATGAAGGGTTAGTGAACTTGTCAAGTGCTTAGAACAAAGCTTGGCACATAATAATAAATACAAGTGGTAGCTATTATTATTGCAGACTAATTGTTTGATGCTACCTCATCAGTTGGTGAATAAATGACAAATGGATGAACATATGTCTATACTATATAGCATATGTCTAATCTATATATGTATATACTCACTTATATGGTCAAATAACATTTATTAAATATCTACTAGATCCTTATTTTAATTATTGAGTTTGTCACAATAACATTAAAGGCTATTACCATTTGCATTATACAAATGAGAAAATATGCTCGAAAGACTTGGAGATGCTAGACACAAAATTAGTTTCTGTAATACTATGTCAATTTTTGAAAGCAGCCTGTATAAAAAGGTTGGGTCACATCAGAATGCAACTGGAGGAAAAAAGAAAGCCATTAACAGTGAACTCTGTGATTAGAAAACAAAATATAAACGCTTACATTTAACAATCTACAGTTTGTAAAAGACCTCACAACTCTGAAGCTAGGGAAACCAAGAACCAGAAATTAGCACGCTGAAAATCACAGAGCTAGAAAATGCAGGCAGGACCTGAATCACATTGATTTGACTCCAAATCCAGTGCTCTTTCTGCTTCTATACCCATAGCCAAATGGGCAAAATACATTTTTTGCAGTAGCCTCCAAATCTGGAGACTCTGCCTTGGGAACTGGCATCATAGGAATGTGCGCAGCCTGGTTTTATGGAGGCTGCCTCCCTGATCTATAGAGCTCCAATTCTAAAATGGCTTCAAGCACTGCATGATGGGAAATGTAGAGAAGATTATAGGGTAGGAGCCATGCCCCAGGGGCTGACAGTCCATAAATATTTACTACTGATGAATGAAGATATTCAATCTGAAAACCAGGTGTGTGGTCTAGGCCAAATCACCTCATTTCTCATAAAGACTCCATCTGTAAGATGGGTGAATGGTTTCTTATCTCTTTGAAAGGAGGGGCTAGGGAAGTAATTCAGCAGTTGCTCCGGATTTATCAGCCTTCTATTTTGAAGACCACAGGTAAAATTCTAATTTGGGTCCAGAAAACTGACAGGTTTTATCCTTACCATCCTGTGTGCTGCTAAAGACATAGACCTAAGAAAAACGAGGGCTTAGGAATGGGGTGCACTGGAAATGTTCAAAAAGAAAATCACTAAGAACCAAGTAGTGTTTAGACATTTAAATTTCTAATAGGAAAATGCAAAAAGCTGAGTAGCCATGTGTCCTGTTCTACAAACTGCATATGTGTGTAGTTTCACAAGAACAATTGAGATAGAGAAATACAATTTTTATGTTCTTACAAGTGCTTCATCTTTCTGGGGCCGCCTGATTTTATATGTTCATAACATCATCTTGCCAAATTCTGTCTCCCACACAGGGCAAATAAAATCTGAGCATGATGCTATCTAGCCTTACCAAAGAGAAAAGCAGATGAAGGCAAGGACAAGAGACATGAATTCTTACAGAAAGGTGGGCAAATTGTCTTACCAATACCGCCACCTTTGAAAACCCCATTACATGCGAGTTCTCCATTTGCAATAGACAAAGATGTAGAATATCTTTGAAGAACAGGGCCCCAAATCACTCCCACCCTTCCCTACCACCAGGGAGGCCATCGGGCAAATTTCAGTCCTAAAACCATGCTAACACCAGAATGGGCGAATTCTGGGCGAGGACACAAAAGACTCTGGCATTAATGACGGTAAATACCGTGGGAAAATATTCGATTCTCAGCCTCTGACATTTTTTTTTTTTTCCTGAGGATCCGGTCTGACTCAGTAACCGGTTCCAACAAATGCATTTTCTTGATTCAAACCTCAACCCTGTGCTTCCCAGGGAATCTCGGGTCCCGCCGCTCCAAAACCAGCGAACGATGATGAAATGGCTTTACTGCAAAGTGGGAGGGGGGTTTGCTCTCTGCTCTCTCCCAAGGTTAAACCCCTTACCCATCTTGGAGGACTCAAGCAGGAGCACTGGGGCTTGAGAACTCGCCCGCATTTGGTTCAGTTTTCATTTTTGGAAACCGGAAAGCAAGGAGCATGGGTGACAGGGCTGAAAAGGTCGGGTCGCAACGCCCAAGGCGCAGGGATGGGTCGCGAGGGGATCGAAACTGGGCAGTAAGGGAGGGTCCCGGGTGCGCTGCTGGATATTCCTTCCGGCCCGGTAGAGGCCGCACCCAGCCCGCCGGGCAGGGCCGCAGGCTGCGAGGGCCAGGCCCCGGAAA